GAAATCTGTCATATTGCTGCAGACTATCCCTAGGACAAAAACTAGCTATGAAATTCATGGGTTTGGTCATGAAATTTTTGGATTCAAGTAGTTTGGGTCCTGTACTTGGATGCTGGCCTAGGATTAAAAGCCATTTTGCAGCCACCTCTCTGCATCTTCCCCTCCCCATTCCAGCCCTTGTCTTGTCCATTAATGTCACAAGTACTCTGAAGCAAGAACTGTCTCAGAATGGCTGTCTCTGCCCGTGTTTCTAATTGCCTCTGGAGCAGATGATGGAAACTCGTCCTTCCTTGCTTGGATGATTCACCCAGTCAAGGTCCCTTCCCTGCATGGAAGATGCATTGTTTGGGAGAGGAGGATTCTTGTCACTTTGAATGCTCTGGTGGCTCAGAAGGGAGCAGAGGGGTGGATGAACACTCGGGCATGCATGTCTGAAACCACAACAAACTCAGTGCCCCAGGGTTTGCTTTTATTGCAGAGCCATTATTAGCCATGTGCAAGAATTCCGTTGTACAATGTGGCTGTGACCACAAAGAGCCCTCCAAATAACAACAGTGTCACATTTGTGAGCAATGGACCATGTACAGGGCCACCACTAGCTCAAGGGGGTAGAGACTTACAGGGGCCTACAAACTTAGGTGGTCTTGTACTCCCCTGACACCATATTCAGACTAAACCCAGCATCAGTAATAATGCTTCTTTTACTTGCTCCAGGTTGTCTGGAATTGCTGCCTTCAGCTAATCTGTAATGGAGGCAAATGGGCATGGTGGGTGTGTGTATGTGGGTCTGTGTGTGAAACAGGACAAGGGGCAGCTCTGTGCTTTCAAGGGGTTTCACTCTGTCACTTTCAGCAGGGATGAAAGGCTCTGGGTCCTGCTGCCTTCTCTGTGTACATATGGTAATAAAAATATTTACCCTTTGGGTAGTGTTGGGGTTTTAACTTTCCCTGCAAAGCCAGGTGACTGCTGTACATTGCGTTGGGTGGATCCATATGGGCTCCTGACAGGGAATTCAGCAGAGGCTGTGGAACCCACATGCTCTAGGACAGACACAACAGACCCTCCTGCTGTTTGCCTGCTGAAGTGGCTGGGCTGAGAGTGGCACCCTTTATGCCAGCCTTGTGCTGCTTCACTTCGCCAGGCTCCAGCTTCCACTGCTGCTGGGAATCTGTCAGGAAAGAAGACAAAGTTTCCAACCTATCTTGGCTCTTTGTGTTCACAAACATCAGTGAAATGCCCAATCAGATTGGGTGGGCACAATTCTAACATGCTCAGGGGTTTTATGCTGACACAGAGCTCTGCTAAACCAGAAGGAATCACTCCAAAGTTGGCAGGAGTGATTCAAGCCCTGGAATCACATCACTTCCTTCCACCCCCAGAAATACTCACTGACCTCCTCTTTTCCCCTCCCATCCAGCAGTAGCAATATAAAACTAAGGAAAACAGCAGCAGCAGCTGCTCCTCTGAGCCCAGTCCTGATGTGGCCCGGAGGACATTTTTTCCTGTGTTGTGGTTTGCTGACTTTTCTCTTTGTCTTGTGTGTAATGGGAACAGAGCTCACGGAGCAGGGAGCATGCTCAAGGCAAATGGCTTCTGTGGGGTTTTTTCTTAACTTCACTTGGGCTGAATTCTGGTCCCAGTTGCATAGGGATAAACCTGGGGAAATTTGGCTGCTTCTCTGGTCCCACTCCAGGTTTACCCCCGTGAAAGCAGCAGCAGAAGCAGGCTCTGAGATGCTTTCTGGAACATTCCAGCTTCCCACAGCAGCTGTTTGTTGCTGTGTACTTTCCTTTACCCTGAGAATTACGTCACCTCTGAGGGCTAAAGCCTCACCATCCTGCTTTGACTCTGAAAGGTGCACAAACAGCTGGTCAGCTAAGTCACTACCCTCAGAGCTCCTGTGCTGCCCCACTGCTTTGCAGAGAGTATTGGGCTGGTTAGGCTTCCTAGCAGAGAAGGAAGGGAGGGTGCAGGGAGGAGGGCCAGGGCCCCGCAAGGTGGTGGCAGCCTTTGGTTGATGTGAGAGGCTGAACCAGGTATCTGATGGCTGAAGGCAGGAAATGTCAGAGTGTGAGCCTGCAAGATGCATCTGCTGCAACGCAGTGCAGACAGCCACAGTGCTGTCGTGGTGGCCCAACTGGTACAAACCTCCACAACAGCATACATAAGATTCCCTGTCTGTGTCACTTCCCAATGGCTTGTCCCAGATGCTGATGAGTGTCTGTCACACCCCAATGTTTTTGTGCACAGTGCTGGTCTTTGGCAGGCTTCATTTCTTCTCCTGGTCTGGTCCAGCCACAAAGGGTAGCAAGTTTATGCTGATAATAACAGTGATTCTGCAGTGTGGAAGATAAGGTTCCAAAGGCAGTGAAATGGCTCAGGATTTTCAATAGTGTGGGGCAGTTCTGTTTGTCGATGGTGGATCTCATATTTGATGACATTTGACAACTTCGTATATTTTATATGTAGTGGCAAATAAAAGTCCTTTACAAATAGCTTTACAAACATGGATATTTAGAGGGATACTTGGGTAAGAGGGGAGGGTAAATAAGGTTCTTCTCTAAGCCAGGCCACTCCCAGTGGTGTTCATGAGGGCTTTGACATGACTGGCATTGATGGCATTTTGGTACCACTTGCAGTGGGAGGTGACACCTGGGCTTGGAGGAGTGTGGAGAGAGGTGATTAAATGCTGATCACTTCCCTGGTACTCCCTCTATGGGATTTTGAAAATAACATTTTTGTCTGGCCTTGACTTTTCCCTGTTGATAGATTGGATACTTTTGACACTTCCCAGCCAGTTAGCAACATGTCGGTGCAGAATTCCTCTTAGGAATTCCTCCATTGCTGCACTGAAGTAACTCTGCTCTGCAGGGCTGTACCTCTGTGATGTAGAGCTGGGCACTCTGAGAGCCCAGTACACTTCCAGTGAGGACTAGTCCATGACACAGACCTCCCTAGTTTTTCAGAGATGGGCACCTACTGATTTATTACAGTCAGTTCTCCTCCTGGCTGTACCCTTTCCAAGAAAAAAAAAAGAAGTGAGAAAAAATGAAAAAAGAAGGAATTCTGACCATCCTAAGAAGTTACTGGAAGTGTTGGTTTGTTGCAGTTTGGAAGAAAATGTGCTGCTACTTTTTTCTGGATTGCATCAGTGCCTCTGCAGCTGGCAGTAGAAATTTGATAGTTCATGTAAAATAGGTCAGTCTTTACCAAGTAAGAAATTATGGTTATTCTGTGAGGGGCATTGACTTCATTGAAGATGTCAGGAGTTGAATTGAAGTCAGATGACAAGCTGAGAATGAAATTGAAAGTGTCAGCTTCGGGGCGGGGTGAGGGGGAAAGTATTTTAGAGAAGTTTGGGAGCTCTAGATGCATCTTGGATGGATTCAAGGAATTTTTGACTTCATCATGTTTAGATATTCAGCATGGGACTTTAATAAAAATCCTGGAGTGCTATAGAGTATTGATGGGGTTAATTAGGTAATAGTGCCAGTGCCTTTTATTGGTGCTGTTCACAAATGATAAACCTGTTGTTGTGTAGCACATGCAAACTGGGGACTGCAGAGGATCCAGAGCTGTGGTTTGATTGTCCCACAATCCCACAGTCCCCAGTGTTTCGTTGCCCTCCCTTGGTGCCTGGAAATTTCTTCATTCTTTGTTAACTAGTTTGTTCTGTGAATGAATCACCAGTTCTCCAGAAGAGCAGCATGAAAGCATAGGGTTACACAAGCCAATTTATTCTAGCTTGTGCACTTCAGGAGGCTTCCTTGGTCCTGTCCCTTTGTCTACCCCTTCTCCACTCCACCAGCAGTGCTGCAGGGCAGGCAGTGCCATCCTGCATTGCACATGTGGGCTTCTGTGCCTGACATACAAGGGCAGGAGGAACTGGCATAAGATCGTTTGGAAAGCCCATAGTAGAACTGCAAATAGTAAAATGTACTTTTTCCTCATGTTTACACAGAAAAATGCCTAACAGCAGTTTGAGGAATCCTACTGCTATATAGTATGTGAATTTCAGAACTTTTTTTCAGTTCTGCATCAAAGCCCCTGTGATTTTGTGTGTGTGCCATTGTTTCATTTATCTCTCTTTTCATCTGCCTGAGACACCTGATAGATGAGTTCAGCAAGCAAGGAAAGCAAATGGGTCATTCTCTCATAAACACCACAGTCGTAGGGAGGGCTTTAAAAACAATTGACTTTGATGTTTTCTAGCCTTTTTAATGTCTTGAAAGTGTATGGTAAAATCAACATGGTAGAAATCAATAATTTATTGTAGGGTTGTTGTGTGCAAGGCTCTGTTTGATGTCTCAGTCCCATCAGACTGTGGGGGTCTCTGCTTAGACTTGAAAAAAATCCAGGGAGGGCCAGTAATGTAGTTTTATATAATAGAAGTGGCAGCATGGATGTCTTCTGCAGTAGAAGTAAGTCTTGGCGTGTAAGTCTTCTGCATGTAACTAAGTTGTGCAAGTTTTCTCAAGAAATCCATAATGAAGCCAGGGCTTGACTGCTCAGAACATTACTCCAGCAAATTAGGCAAGAGTATTGCTTTCTCTTTTGAAACAAACAGTAATTCATGGAAAAAATTCCCCCATGCATTCTGGGAGAATAGAAGATCAGTCAAGATTCTGTGTGTGTGGTGCAAGGGCAGAGCTGTGCTCTAGGAAAGCAAATAATCTGATAGCAGATAACTTAATGAAGTCAAATAAAATTAATTAAACTAGAAGAAAATATTTATATTTTATGCTATAAAAGGAACAAAAGCAAATGGAAGGACTACTGAGTTGTTTCAAAATTTTATGGTAAGCCATTTCAGACCTTTCACTCCTTGTCTTGGAGTCAGTGGGTTTTGTCATCATGGTTCTTATTACAGCTTTCAGCACAACTCTATGTAATTTGTGTCCCTAACCAGCTCTGGAGTAGGCCAGGCTTAAAATTCAAAGTGGATCCAGGAATTTCACTGCAAAGAAAGCTTCATGTAATCTGTTATGTTTTGTATGCAGATCTGGAAGTGTCAAAAATCATTGGACTGAGATTTACTCCTTTGTGGAAAGCCTAGCTGAGAAATTCATAAGGTAAAGTTTTTTTAAAATCTTTAATTTCCTGCGCATGATCTATTTTTCTGTTTAGTGCTTATTAGCAAATGAATTTCTGCTGAGGTAATGAGTGTGGTGTGGATCTGGCTTGTTTTTCTCTTTCAGCCCAATGCTGCGGATGTCCTTCATTGTGTTCTCTTCACGGGGCACTACGATCATGAAACTGACAGAGAACAGGCAAGTTCCTCCCGCTGCCCTGCTCCACAAACACCCTCTGTCCCTCCTCTCACACAGCACATGGCCCCACACCCAGAGTTTGGGGTCTGCCTTGGTCCTTGTGTGGCAACAGCTGAAACTCTCTCCTCCATTCCCTGCTGGAGGAATGTTTAGAAGGCCTTGGGGTGTCCCATTTCAATTTTCTTTTCTGCTTTGTGAGAGAAAGGCAGCATTGGGCTGTCTGTTCTTTGCTGTGGTATTTCAGGGAGAAATTGCATTTCCAGTTGAGGATCCAGGTACATACTTGCTATCCCCGTCTACCCAAATAAGGAAGCTTTTGTGGAAGAGATTTCAGACCCTGAACTGGTGAGCAAAAGAGTGTATTAGAGATCCCCAGTGCCCTTGGAAGGGACTCAGAGGACCTTTACACCAGGTAGTCCTGAGTGCTGGAGCAGGACTTCACCAGGCTGTGGCACCCCTCTCCGGGACTGCCTGCAAACAGCACCCATGCCAGAGGTGCTTTGCAAAGCCAAGTGACAGTCTTTGTAGGAGAAAAAGTGGAGAAAGATTCTGGTTGCCAGATTCACAACCAAATTTTCTTTCTTTTAAAAATAAGTGAATAAAAACCTCCAAATCACCACTGAAAATAGCCCCAACACAAAAAATCCCCACCCCAAAAGGTTATTTTTAAATTTAATTTCCTCTACATATACAAATCCCTGTCATCTGGGTGTTTCTAAGTATTTTCTTTCATTTCAGCTTCAAGCCTTCACCTTTGCTGCTCCTGTCTGTGTGAGAGGGCCTCAGTAGTACAGGGCGCCCTATAAGTCGTGGGAACTCTGGAGCAGGAAGAGCAGCTACTCCCTCAACTTTGTACTCCAGGGACTCATCCTAAGCCAGACACCCTGCAGGGCTCTTGCATTTCTGCTGGCTTTCCTGAGCTTTGTTTCAGGTCTCCATCATGTATCTTGGTGGGAGAGCTCAAACTTGCTTACTTTTCTCTGGGTGAATTTGCTCTTTGCAAGGTAGAAAGTTCAATATGTTAAACATGGTATTGGAGTGCTCTCTGTCCTTAAATCCTGTTCTCTGTACGGATCACAGTGTGCCTTTTCAGCTCATTTTATGCTTCAAAAGAGAAAAAAAATGTGCTTTTTGCACTAAGGGCATCCCCAATCCAAGCTCCTGATTTTTACCTTCATCCCATATAGCCTCCTGTATTCTCTGTAATTGTGGTTGTGCCACCTAAAATACCTGGTTGCAAAATGGAGTTTAGGAAGGTTCTCACTATTCTCTTAAAGGCTGCCCCACAGCATCTGGAGCTGATGTTTGAGCTGCCTGTGTCTTATCTGTTGAATATTTGTGCCTTGTGTTCCATTAATATGATGAAAACCCTTGTCAAGGATCAGGGTCTTTTGGTGGTCAGCAATCAATTAAATTATTAATGTCCCTGAACAATCTTTTTGGTTAATAGGTATTTGGGGAGTAAGAAGCTATGCAACAGGGGTCATGGCATGCAAGTGCTTCTGTGTCCAGGAGTAATCTATAGCCCAGGAAGGCTGATGAGTCCCTGGTCTAGGATAGGAAATTCTCCTCATTCCCATCCTGGTCTCTTATCTTTTGGCCACTTTTTTAAAATGGAAAAATCCTAATCCAGACTGTCCTGATGACTGATTCAATACAGAACTTTAATTTGTCCCAATTTTGTGACAGGGTCATAAGTTTTTATACTCTGTTTTGTTCTCCAGTTCATTAAAGTTTAATATCTGGCATTGGCTTTAATTCAATCTTATCCTGGCTGAGAATATACAAGAATGAGGGAGCAGGGACAGAACTTCATCTTTGAAATATGTTGCCCTAATGCTGTACCCTGTGTCTGGTTTTGTGCTCCCATGGGTGTTTGGGTGATAAATTGTGGACTTAGAAAAAAATAGTGGTTCAGCCAGTGTTCCAGCTGATGTGTATGCACTCTGTGCAGTTGATTGACAGGCTGCATAATCTAGCTGTGGTACAGGAATATCTCAGCAAAAGAAAAAAAAACTTCTAATAAAATGTTCTCCTGGGATTTTTTTTTGTTGTTGTTTATTTGTGTTTGGTTTTTTTCAATCCAAAGGGAAGCCATAAGACGAGGACTCGACATTCTTAAGGAAGAATTGCCTGGAGGAGACACGTTCATGCATGAAGGATTTAAAAGGGTACACATCACAGTACCTACTTCCTTTGTTTTACACCTAGAAACTTTGCTGCTGGTATTCTTATGAGCTAACCGTGTTCTGCACTTCATTGCAGGCAAATGAGCAGATTTACCATGAGACCTATGGAGGTATGTGCTGTGCAGCATTCATGTTAATGTCTGCATTGAGGAGACTGAGGGATTATGGTTCTTTTTGTGACCTGCAGTAAACCCACTGACAGAAGTGCTGGAGAAGGAGGGCTGTTATGCAACACCACATTCCATTTTGACTGCAGCCCTACTCCTAAATGGGTGATTCATGGTTTATTGAGATCAGAGAAGACCAGTATGATCCCAGATCCGGCCATTGCAGAATGCAGACCAAACCATAGCAGTCAGAGCTGCCCATCTTGCACCCAGCAGACAGAAATTCCCACATTTTCCTGGTCCTTTCTATCCTGATGCACTCAGCCCTCTCTGCTTTGTGGTCCCACATCCTTGTCCTCATCAGTGTGAATGAGAGTTTTGCATCAGTATGAATGATTTGTGTTCAGATTCTGAGTTGCTAAAATGTGCATTTTCACTAGATTTTAAGAGGTAAGTGTATTTGTGGTTTTTGTCTGTGCCAAAAGAAGACCTAGTTAGTTAACAAGACTTGCTTAGTTCATACCCTGGTGTGAGGTTGTTCTCATTTGTGGGCTCATGGTCTCTTAGGAAGATGGAGAAATGGGTCAGTGCCTTTTTATTAAAATAGACTGCGAGTGTAGGAGCAGCAGCTCTGCACAGTGTTGTAGCATTTCTGCCAGTAAAATCAGGAGTCCTGAGGTGTCCAACTGAAAACAATTCTACTTCATAACATATAGCTAAGAACTAATCAAGTATTCTGTAAATTGAATTAGGAAGGAAAAAGAGTAGGTGAGATCTGGATCTAGAAGCTAAGCTACCTGGGAAGAAACAAGCATTGAAAAGAAAACAAAATAAGAACTCCAGTTTTTTAAGCATATTTCAAGTGTTCTGGGCACAAAAAAAAAAAAAAAAAAAAGGAATACAAGCTATTTTTTCCCCTCAAGTAGCAGGTCATTTTTTTAAGATTTATGTCTGTGTCTGACATGGCATGGGAAGGACCGTGTGGCATAAGAAACCTGTCAGAACTAATCAGTCTGTAATTTCAGACAGTATGGAGGAAGACACTTGAAATTGTAACAGATTATTTTGAAAAGATAGCAAATACTTGCCTGAAAGTAACATGTATGTGTATTTGTTACTCTGCTTAAGAACTGTGAACTCTATGGTTGGTTGAACCATAGTTTGAATGTTAATTTGGTTTAATTGTGTTAACTGGTTGCATTTTTCTAGGTAGCATTGTATTCTATACTGCATTACATACATACATCTCTGCAGTCTATGCAACCTTTTCACTTAAGTGAAGGGTTGGGATATAAAATGTTGTATGACAATACATGATTTTTTCCCTAATGAACCTAATCTTAAGGTTTCCACATGCTCAGAATCCTGTGAATTTCACTGGAAGTTCTTGTTGCTGGAGAACTGTAGGACTGACCTCCCTGTAGAAGCCCATTTCATGCCATGTTCCATGGGGTTGCTCTTTCAGAGCCTGATGGAGGGAAAGGTAGGATGACAGGAAAGATCCTTTTGCAGAAGTATCTCTTACCACAGTCTCTGGACAATGTTTATGTAGAGACAAGTTTGTCAAGAGAAGAGGGGAAACCTCTCCTGTGTGAACCCATTTTGTCAGTTCTCCACGTGTCTGTAATCTTGGTAGCTGCTCTATTTTATTCAGAACAGGAAAGCTGGTGTGTGGACCTGGTTAGAGCAGCAATCCCCTGCAGTGATGCTGTGGTGTGAAGGTGCTCAGGTTTTGGCTCGTTGCAAGCCTTGCATCTGGCCTTCAGCTGGTGTCTCACCAAGTCCATACAGACCAGGCTGAGAGTCTGGCTTAGGGCTTTGTATTTATTTGTCAGTGAAAAGGATTGCCTCACTGCAGAGGTTTTTTTCCATTGCTGAATCTTGTGCCATGTGTGTGCAATCTGTTGTTGACTGTCCTCCACGCAGGAGTTCGGACCGCCAGTGTGATCATTGCCCTCACGGACGGCGAGCTGCAAGATGCTCAGTTCTATTATGCAGAGCAAGAAGTAAGTCACTTCTGTCTTCATCCAAACTTATTTATGTCATCTAAACCTCCAACACCTGTGCACATTTACTGCTGACTCCACTGATTACACAGCTTTGCACTTAATGGCAGTTCTTGGGTTTTTTAGGCAAACAGAGCCAGAAGTTTTGGAGCTACTGTTTATTGTGTTGGAGTGAAAGATTTCAATGAAACTCAGGTAACTTGCTTATTTTCTCTTGTGTTTTTCTGTTACACTACTGCACAAGGAACAGCATCAGATGAAGGCATTTATTTAATCACTTGGGGCATAAATCATTTCGTGTCACTGTGATGTCTGTTAGCAACTATGAAAGGGCCCAGTTTTGTTCACTGTAATTTTGTTTTCCTCATGATTTATGATTGTCTTTCTTTGCAGCTGTCAACGATTGCTGACAGCATCGATCATGTTTTTCCAGTTAAAGGAGGCTTTTATGCCCTAAGAGGAACCATTGATTCAGTAAGTTGGATGTTCTGAAACACAGTAAAGACCGCCCTTCCCTGCATTAAGACAGCATAGATGAAAATGGTTACCAAAAAATGCCTTTATCTAAATCTTTCAGATTCTGAAGAAGTCTTGCATTGAGATCCTGGCAGCTGAGCCATCCAGTGTTTGTGCAGGAGGTAAGTTTTCACAAGGACAGTGTGTTAAGGCAAATGAATTGCACTGATGAAATGTCAGTAAGTACCTAATGTGATACTGGAGCTGAAGCCTGTGGATGTGTTAGAGCATCCTCTCAGGCCATGGCTAAAGCCCTACATTTCCTTCTCATCTTGAGAAAAGCATTCTGACAATAAGCATGTAGCTGCTGTGGCTGAGTACCAGCTTGGAGAGCTGACAGGGGCAACAAAACTGAGCAATTGAGGACACCATTTTTTAAAAAATCAGAGAGAGAGACAAGAAAAGTAATGTAAAGCCAGACTGACAGAGGTATTTCAGGGCCTAAAAGCAATATCTCACAAATTTCTGGAAAGATTGCATTCCTGGCATCTGCTGGGACTTGTCAGCAGTTAGAACAAGACTTTGCAAAACGTTTACAGAAATTTAAGCTTTATTGAACCAAATATAATTTGCTGCATAGGCCAAGATACCTCTTGTGATTTCCAAAATGCTAATGTTTTATTTATCTGAAAAAAACATTATTCTTTGTGGTAAACATGAAGGATACCCAGAGCAGTTGTTGATAATTTCATGCCTTTCATGTCTAGTATATTTAACTTGGATTTGTTCTGGTTTATGTTAGCAATTCTTTTGTTGAGTTTTTTCTACTTTAGAGGCTATTGCAGCAGAGTAAGAGTGACACCATAAGTTTGCTGGAAGGTACAGTTTTTCAGCATGGTTATTTAGCTCTGGTGTTAGTGTCTTGTGTTCATTTCCTTATACAATGTAAAAAGGAGCACATAAAAAATGGCAATGATGCATGAAAGCTGACCTTGAAAACAGACAAAATATGGAACTCAGGAAAAATTTAGTATCACAGAAGAGAAATTGTTCACTCTTCACTTCCACATGTCAATCTCAATATAATCTTACCATGAATATTTCAACTTAACATGAACATCGTGTCTCTTGAATTATTTCTAAGTATATTATTGTGGACTAGATGTAAAATCTCATCTGTAGAAAATTTAAAGCAGTGATTTTACTTTTAAAAGTGTTCTGGAGTTTTGTAGAATAAAACAGTTTTAAAGCTTTGACACTTAAAGCTTTTTATTTCATAATGATTCTGTCATATTTTTGCTTACTAATTGTATACCTAACAATTCTTTGTGCAAAGCTTATTACAAACCATCCTGCTCAACAAAAATGCCTTTAGCTACATAAAAGTGTGAGTATTCCAATAGAAGGGATTTTAGTATTCTTGAAACTGTTTGGGACAATGTTAAGAATATGGGAAAGTTGAACTGGAAACAATGTTTTTCAAATGGAATGTTAAAAATATTTTTATAATGTATTTGAGAAAATAAATTCTCAAAAAATAATTATTTCAAAAAAGTTAATATATTTCAGCAAAAAGAGATGATTTTTTTTTTTCCAAATGATAATGTATTCAAATCACTTCATTTTTTGTTAAGCTTGCTAGGTAAAAAGTTTGACAAATGTGATTAACATTCCACAAGTACACTTTAAAAATAGTTTGCCCTGAAAAAAAAAAAGGCAACAAAGCTCAAACAATATTGTTACCTTACTTGGATCTGTAGAATTTTTCATTGTCTTTGTGGCTTTCAAAAAAGACCAATATAAATTGGGGAGAATCAGTTTCTGGGTGGTGGTGCTGATTTGGCAAGATATCAGTTCTTCTTTCCCTTGAGTTCTGAGGTTTGCTCTGTCCCTGTTGGCCCAGCAAGGGCTGGCACATGGTGAAGCTTTGCTGCCCAATCTCTGTGCTTGAAGGAGCAGTAGAGAGCTTGAAAAGAGGAGGAAGCCAAGGCTGCAGCTCCACATGATGTGAACTGTTTGTATACCATGGTATTTAAAGTATTAAAGCCTTGAGCACTAATAATCACGCCTGTGATAGCATTTATCATTACCACACAGGCCACAGCTGGAATTACCTCCTGCAAGAGGTTTTACAGCATGAGGCTACAAATATTTACATTTATGCTTAGATTTATTATCCTTTATTATCCTACTTACTTCAACATAACTAGAGGTTCATCTGTGTGGATTTGTGCACCACTGTCTCCTGGAAGGAATCTCCTGGGAATAAACAACATTTTCATGGTAGTGTGAATCCAGATCTTGAGTTCAGTTCACTGGACAGCTATAGTGTTACTCTGTGTGTAATGTGTTTTATTTTTTTCATGTGCTTCATTTGGACTTTACTTCATAGGCTTCACTATATTCTGCATTCATGTCAGAATTTTTATGCATTTTAAATTTAGGTAATTACTGATAATGTATTGTGTCAAGATCTAGAGCCACTCAAACCTGCATCAACATACACATACACTTTCATAGTGTACATACTCACTGGCTGAAAATTAGAGCACAACATTTTCTAGAAATTTGCCATTCCTCCTTGTTTATTTTAGGAGTGTTTGTTTGTTTAAATACATAATAGAATTTTTCATTTCAAAATTATGTTTGAAAAATAATGGACCTTTGGAGAGAGTGCAATATATTATCACATTGTCCAGCAAAGATACTTGTCTATTTACAGCCTTGAAATGTGTCTGTCCACACTTTTTGTATGAAACTTATCTGAGTGAGGAGGGGATAACTGGTTTAGCCTTTATTTAGCATTGCTAGTAATTTTTACAATTTGCTATGGATTGTGAGAGTATTGTGTGGCTCAGTGGAAACAAGGGATGATCAGGGCTTAAAACAGGGTCTGAGCCAGTCCTTGTAAGTGTTCTCATAGTTACTACTGTGTTGGTGATTGCTGGTGGTCTTGGCTTCATTTTTGACTTGCAAGAGGTTTAGTGAAATGCTAATGGAACCATTTGTATGTGTTGACAATTCCAGTTGGGACTCTGGCTTTCTGTGACGAAGCTATCTGGCAAATCCAGTTACAAACTGATCTCGTCATATGGTGACAGCTATCTGATGTTTAATGCTTTTTGACCCTGTAAATTCATTGTCCCCAATGTGGAGCAGTGTAGTTGGGTCCTTCCTGCTCCCTGTGATTTAAAGTGACCAAGACATGCAGCCTGTAAACAGGCTATCAGTGCAGAATCAGAGGTGCCTCATATCCCGTTTGACAGCATCATTGCTTTGATTATGCTTATGGTGCGCAGACGTGATTGAAAGGTTTTGTTGGATGTGGCATCCTAGTGGCCACATCAAGTACCAGGTGTGGATGCAAGCAGTCAGCTTCTCATCAGAGGCAGAGAAGCGGAGCCGACAGCCCAGCCAGTGCACACCAGCTCCAACCCAGCATCTCGCTGCCAGCGCTGCCCGGTGCTTTCAGTGCTGACCTTTTTCCCTTCGCTGTCTTGTCAAAAGCTGCAATCCATGATCTGACAGTAACTAAGGAGGAAAAGGACGCAGCCAGAGCCAGGGCGCAAAATTAAATGGAATTAGCCATTTCAACAGAGCATCACCCAGAACACGTTCATGCTCCAAAGCAACCGAGGTTCCAGCTGGTTACGTTTCCCTGGTATATTTTCAGCTTGTGTTGCTGGACAGGTTACTACCCAATCACTTGTTCACAACTGACTGTGCAGAGTGGCAGTCACAGTGACAAGAACGGCAGGAGAGGTAAATTGTCCTGACAAGACTAAACTTCTAGATGTAGCTTTTACCTTGGATGTCTTGTGTTGAAGTTTTCTTACTTGCAGCATCTTTTTAAAGCCCCTGAAGCAGCCACCAGTTAAGCTTTTGTGATTGCTGCCTTTTAAGGCCTTTAATTCATGTGAAGGGGAAGAAAAATTTAAGTGCAATTTTGTTTCAGCAAGCTTCTTTTAAAATACAAAATTGAAATGGGGAGAAATTATCATCTTGGCTGCGTGTTCAAGCCCCTGTGAAGTGGGCTGGTTACAAGCAAGTCTGCCAGTGTGGGGTCCCAGGCAGGTAGTTCTGGTGGGTGGGCAGAGGCCCAGTTGCCCTCAGGGCTGGTCATGACTCTCAGTTCTGCTGGCAAAAAAAGGGGATGCTCATAATTCTCAGTATAACAGCTGGGTTAGATGTGGAATGGCTCAAGGCACAAATCTGACTAAGAGTAACTCAAGATTCTTACTGGAGTAAGAAGTAGATGAATCTACTCTACAGTACATTTTCATTTGTTAAAAGAAATGCTCATTACCCCCAGTGAGAACCAGGATATAAACTCTTCCCACTAAAAAGAGGCCAAATTCTGATGCTGGATTTGTGTATTTGGCTCTTGGTGTGCTCATTGAGATCTCAAATTTTATAGTTTTTCTTTAGCAAGGTACCTAGGCACATGTTTCTTTTCAAAATGCACTCCAGTAGATACTTTCTTTATCTCCTCCCAAAATACCTTCTTTGATTCCCACATACCTTGTGGCTTTTGTCAGTTCAGAGCTCTGCTCTAGAGCAAGTTACCATGATGAAAACCAGAGTGTGGATTTCCAGTGGATGATTGTAATTTATAAATGCCCCAGTCCCATTCACCTGGACTTGCATTAGATCTCAATACAGTGGTAATGGCAGTGAGTGAGAGTATTTTTGACAGAAACAAGCTGTTGGTACAGAAAAGTAAAGCATTCCACATCCTTGTGCTAGCTTGCCTTGCAGTAGCTTGATAAAAGAAGTGCAGGCAGATGAGGCTGTGAATGTATTTGAGCCACCTTTGGTCCTCATGTAGTGTGATCCAATGAGTTCTTCCTCCAAAGCATACAAATGACATGGTAGTGCCTTGTATGGAACGTTGCTAAAAGCCAAGTCTTATATCACTAAAAATCATGTACGGCTCCCCTCATTCCTACCAACATTGTTTTGTTCTCCTTTTGAGTATGTTCATCAAAGTATAGATGATGATGCATGTAGACTTGTTCATGGTTTTACTCACTACTAATGGAGTACTATGTAATTTATTCATGTTTTTCAGTGTGAAGCTTGAAAACGAATTTTTACTGTGCTGTTATACCTCTTACATTGGGCTGTTCTCAAATGCTGCTCAGAGGCTGGTGTGAGAGCCCTGTGGAGGATTTGGTTAAAGTAGGAAATTCATGCATGAATGTGTAACTTGAGTTCTTTCCCTTGCTTTGTGCCAGCAATCTCAGCTGTCAGCTGGCTGCTTGTCTGCGGTGTCAAAGGGAGTTTCAAAAGCGTGCTGGGGACAGAACAAATTTCTTACGTGTCTCTACCTGCCTGCATTAAAGGTCTTATCTCTGTGGTCAGTGTAGCAGCCACAATGGCTTTTTGTGTCCTAGAGGGAAATTTCCCTTGCCATGTCCCTTCCTGGTGCATCTTGTGCTTAGTTTGGCAATTTAGGCTCACCCTAGCAGAAAGGGGACTGTGGGTTTGTGTTGGGCCCCACCTGTGCACAGTAAAGGGAGAGAAGAATAGCAAACTGTTGCGTTGTTAGAGCTTTGAGTCACAGAAGGTTTGGGAGGGAAGTTCTCTCTGTCAGCATCTTCCTGAGCAGAGCTCTGCTGAAAGCCTGGTGCCAGGAGGAAGGACTGGTGAGCAAAGGTGTCTGTCCCAAAAGCCACAGAGGAACCATGAGAGAACATCAATCAGTCAGACTTCGTTTTGCTGTGGCACCTTTAAGGCATTGCAGTTGTGTGTTACACTTGTGGGAGCTGACTTGAGACAAAGAGAAGACTCTGAAGCACTAATGCCACTAATGCAGTACTCTTGGACATTGCTGCTCAATAGAGGGAGTGTCTGTGGGGATGTTTTATTTCAGGCACAGGGCAGAGAACAGCAACTGTCATGTTTTAATTCCAGTCACTCTGAACAGAAAAGCTGTATTTGAGTTATTTCTCATAAATAAATAATAAATCTTTTATGTTTTTCTTACAGAATCCTTTCAAGTTGTGGTGAGAGGCAACGGCTTTTATCATGCGAGAAACATCGACCAGGTGCTCTGCAGCTTCAAGCTCAATGACAGCCTTACTATCAGTAAGTGTGCAGGCTGGAGGACTGCAGTGGCCCCTGTGGCTGGGTCACCTCACAGGCCAATTCTCATCCATGTTAAGGGGAGTCCTTGCAGCAGATGTGAGAGGAAGCTGGGGTAGAGGTGTGCACTTAAAAGGAGCTTGAAATTCATCCTTGCTCAATGCAGTGACCTGTGGGCACTGTGTAGTGAGCACTTACATGGGACATGGGGCTGTACAGTGACCTTAGCACTGTTGCAGTGATCCACGTGGGTGCTGCATGCAGCAAGAGAGGACTGGGGATCCGGTTTTAAGATGGAAACTTAAAATTGTTTCCTATTCCCTTATCCATCAGCAGTAAAAAGAAATACTGCTATCTTGATCCCCTGGTGGTGTTTTCAGAGTTTTTAGTCACCAGTTCAGGAGACAACTGCCATAAAGCCAGGCCTCCCAGGCACTCTGCTCCTCTCTGACACCAGTTTCTGGTCCCATCACAGTGACTGTGTAACATGGAAACCCCCTGTCCTGTTGTGATGAACAGGATCTTTTGTTTGCTGTCTCAGCAACCAGGCAAAGGACTGAATGGCCAAAAAAGATGGAGTGTCCAGTTTCTCAGCAGTTGCTCTCTCATTCCTGAGAAGCCGTGTATTTTGGGCAGAGTGAAATATGGTGTGGGGAGAGGAGCTCTGCTCCTATTTCGTATATGCTGCCCTTGTGGCCTGAGCACAGTGGAGGCTTTCATATGCTGTTGTGGCCAGACTAGTGCCTTCCCAAGCTGTGAATTAACTTACAAGAGCGAACACATGAATTGCTCCTTCATTTCCCATCTCGGTTGTCTATGTTGATGCTGTAGTAAAACAGCTCTGGTGGCCTTGCATTTATTCCACTTACAGATATGCTTTAACCAGGATTTGTTTTTTGTGGTTTATCAGTTAGACTTTTTGCTTTTTCTTCCCTGGCCCCAATCATTAGCACCTTGACTGGACTTCATACAGTGAGTGCTCACCAGGGCCTGGAAATACACAGGAAGAAAACTACTCTGATTACATTCCAAATCCATGCTGTTTTCCTTGGGTTAAATCTGCAAGAGATGTTGTGATGAGATACTGATCTGTGATGCCTTTTTTTCCCTCCTTAAAACATATCACTGGTTTCCATGTCCTTATCTCTGCGTGGAAGGGAAATGAGTTCTGTCTTCAGGTGTGCTTGAAGTGAGTGAAGCATGAAGGAACAATTCTTACATCTGTTGTTGCTTGAGTTAATTTTTTTCCTACAGAGTAAAGAGTAAACAAGCCTCAAAAGTATAAATAGGATGGCAGCCTTTATCAGCCCTTTATTCCCTTAGGTAGACCACTCTTTGTCCAGGCTGGCAGCACAGCTGTTTGCTGGCCACTCAGAGCTAAGCTGCAGTCACTGGAGTGGTGTGTCTGCTCTTGTGCTTCAGCTTACAAGCCTTTGGTGGAGTGGCAGTGCAGGATTACTGCTGGGCCTCCTGTCTGTATTCATAGGACTTGGCTTTCTGGATGTGACTTTTGAAAGTGATGGGATTAACACTGCTGAATCTTGGAGCAGAGAAATGCTTCCTCCGTAGGTGGGAAGATGTGTGCCCTTGTGTTTGACCCTGCCTGCACCAAACACTTATAAACATGGGCTGTTTACAGATGATGCTGCCACAGAGGGGATGGGTCCAGGAGAAGCAGAGCAGATCCTCATTATAACATCAGTCATGGCCCTCTCTGCCTGTTTCCTGTAAATGACCAACCATCTCTTGGGTTTGGTTCCCCCCCCCAGTATTTTTCCATTTCAGCTCCACCCCATCCCTCTCCTTCCTCTTTCTTGGGCTCAGACAGTGCAGCCTTGGATTCTTTTCTGTGTGTATTTGAACATAGGTAGACAAAAACTGAACCCTAAACTTTTGAGCCCCTGAGTAACTTGAGGACTATTCAGTGTGAGTAGAGGTTGCACATAATTTTCAGATAGACATGATGAATACTGCTCAAAGCTGAATTCCAAATGGCTGATCACACTGCTGTCAGGAACAGAGATAAATGTCCAGTTCTTAGCTGTGGTATCTCTAGCCTGATAGCATCATGTTGGCATCAACATGAATGGTTATTCTAGTACTTGGATTTGTAATCAGCACCATTGGGGAGTATTGGTACTTGCCAATACATTGAGTTCATCTGTGGCTGTCATTGGTGTCAGCACTTCCCAAGTGGGTGGCCTGCTTGAAACAGTTTAATTTTCTCATCCCTGAGAGTTATATCCATTTCCTTTCAGATGAAAAGCCAACTTATGTTCATGATACATACTTGCTTTGCCCTGCCCCTGTGATAGAAGATGCTGGACAGTGAGTATTGCATTCAGCATGTGTTGAGAGGGTGGACTTCTGGGTGAAGATGTCATAAACTTCTGTGTGTGTGTCATATTGCAGCCATCTCCTTTGTACCAAATCCTTTCCTAATATGAGCCACCATAGCTCTATTCAGTGTTGGGTCTTCAGCACAGTTTAACCAAAGATCTTCTTGGACCATGGCCCCATATCATAGAATCTCAGAATGGTGATTCCTCCTCTCTTCATATATCCTGTTGTTTCAGACCAAAGACTGTTTAAAGACAGTTCATTACATTCAAGACAATTACATTTAATGTTCATGGAAAGGAGATGCTTTATTTGAATTCCTTTGCTGTTATTGCATATGTTGCTTCCTGTATTTTGCTCTGCTGTGTCTAGTGTTGACATTTTTCAGCCTTTTTAGTCCTGTAGACTTCTGGGAGACATGGCACACATACCTGCCTTTTCCCTGGGTGATCTTATGGGTGCTTAAATGCTGTACTGGGGCTATGGGTGAATGCTTCCCTTGCCTTTTGTATTTGTAGGTGAAGGAAATTAATTTGGTGGGGTTTTGTAATTTTTTTTATTATTACTTCAATTTTTTTTTTCTCTGATATTGGAGAATGGCTAGGGAAGATTCTTCTTGAATTTCACTTGGCATTTCAGTGGTTTTACCCTTCTTGATCTCAGTGCAGGGGTTCTGGATTTGCTTGGATTCAAAAGAACAAACTCTGTTTCATTAACAGTAGGGTTTCTTTAAATAAATAAAAAAGTCTTAAAGTTTATTGTGCTATGTACAGTAGTATTGTTGTTATCTGAGGCATTCTGTTATGACTCAGTGCCCTGGTGCTCTTTGCCCCAGGTGGGATGGGTTTTTTAATAAAAAGCATATGTCCCTGCTCAACTAAGGTAACATAAAAAGGTTGGCTTCTGGGTAAGCAGGGAGGCAAATGCAGGTAAGTGCCTGAGGCCATGAAAATGCCCTGACTCAACAGGACCCACTATCCATGCAGACTCATAAACCAGTGGTTAAAACAGAGACAGAATAAAGGTAACAATGAGTCTAAAGATGACACTAAAAATAAACATATCTGTTTTGTGCTCTAGGGTGGTTTTCCTACAAGTCAGCATGAACAATGGGCTAACATTCATCTCCAGCTCTGTCAGCATCACCAGCACACATTGTGTGAGTAACTCCAATGGGGCTTGACAGAGGAACCATGAGACCCTGTAAAGAAATGGTTGTTCTCCAGGCAAAGCCTCCTTGAGTGAGCCTGACCTCTCTGCAGCTTCTGTGTCACTGCTACTGACTGATCCCAGCAGCTCTTGGGAAAATAACCAGGGCTACTTAAGGTCAAATTGTTATTGGTGGTGGATAGATCCTAATAGATTTTCTGAGTAAAAAATTAGAGTAAGAGGCACCCTGCCCATTCCTACCCCAGGAGAGAGATCCTCAAAACTAGGATCTTAACAGAAGGAGACCTGAGAAAATTATCACAGGAGCATCAGGGAGCAACACTGTTGAGCCTTGGGGTCCCTGAGGGGATTTAGGGTAAAAGGCACAACTGTTAGGACTTCTATCTGGAAAGGCCACAGAGAGAAAGGACGGTGATGCCTGTTCTGCATCATGTGGTCAAAAAGACCAGGTAGAGTGTCAGGGACAAACAGCTAGAAGTGATCCTTTATCAAAATCTGATTTTACAATCAAATAAACAAAATTAGGAAACTGACTAATAGATGAGGAGTTGTCTTTCTTGCCTTGGGGTAAAAATAGGCAGTGCTGGTAACTGGTGTGAGCAAGTACAGTAATTAAATATGTGACCTTGTGCTTGTGGTCTAAATCAAGCTGGCTGAAGTACCTGATAGCAGTTTGTATTGTTATTAGTGTCAAAAGGACTTTTATAGCCTGTGCCAAATGCTGTCATATTGGTTTGTAATCATTGTTGGCCATTTTGACAGCTGGAGAACATGAGGGCAGGAATGCACATGGAGGCAACTGGAAATTATAAATCTAATTTTCTGATGTTTGCAGCAATAAGGGTGAGAAATATCACACCAGAATCCTGAACAGCCTGGATTGTAGGGACACAATACAGCAGAGATGTGTTTGTTTCTTTATGCGATTATTTCTATTTTGCTAAAACTTTCTTCCAAATTTTCCATACTGAGGACTGATATTTTCACATTTAATTCCACTCTTTTACCTCAGGTACAGTAAAACCTTTCAAGTCTGCACAAGTGTTAACTGATGCATTTAGTTACCCATATGTAATCTATTTCTGATGAAGACTGAAGTGTCAACCCTAACCAGGGTTCCTAAAGGCCAGAGCATGGATAGAGGAAGCTTTTCCTTTTGGTAGCCTTAGGATAGTAAGAGGAATCCAATCTCCAGTCATGTCAATCTGACCGTTTTTGACCAGCCTCTTGCAGATTGAATGTGAAGGAGGCAGGAAGCCTGATTTGCAGCTGATAGAAAAATACTGTCTTACTCCTGTTCTGTCCTATAAGCAGCTAGGTTGGCAGTTCAGTTTCCAACTTTGTCTTAATTTCATGCGTTTCATTCTTCTCGTTGTAGAGACTCCCTCCATTTCCTTTCCCCTCCTGTTTCCTTTTCTGTGGGTGGCAGTCAGCTGGCCTGCTCAGCTCTCCTCCCCAGCTGGTCCTTCTGTCTTTTCTGTACAGTAAGTATCTTCACTATAATCCAAAAGCCTCTGTGTGATCCCCTTGCTTATTTCTGTTCAGCTGCGTGAAGTCTGCTATTTTCTTTTCAAAGTCCAGCTTCACTATGGAGCTTTGTGTCATTAAAATCATTAAAAGAAGACTCTTTAGCTTCTTGCTGCCAGCAGCTCCTGAGCTATTGCTGGCAAATGTCTCAGCAATTTATATGTGCAGTTAGCATGGGAAAAGCAATGCCTGGAAACAAAGGCTACAAAACAAGGAGGTAATGTGTGTTTGGAGTAATAGTAGCACTGGTACTGCATTGCTACTGTACTTGGATTTGTTTTTAAGGAGTGCAGCAATATTTCTTAAAGTTATGCTTGATTTTTACTCAGCAATCTGGCTTTACTGAGAATTCATTTCACTGTAAGTATCTGCTTTCCAGATGCATTAGTTGTACATGGGGCCATGGGAGGGACAGAAAGGGGGCTTAGCAGTGAACTGCAGCTGGGTACTGTGTCCTCCAACAGGACTTGTTTGAGCAGGACATTTGGCACATTTTGGGCAATCCAGCTGCTCTCTGGCCAAAAGAAGGTGAGCCAGACAGCATACCCTAACACAGGTGGGTTTGTTGCATCGTTAACCAAAAGCCAAAGAGCAGAGTGGGGATGGCAATGCTGTGACTCAGATATGGGATACTGGGTTACCTGTTTAAAAGAATGGAGTAGGAGCTGTGTTTGTGTTAGTCCCTTATTGAATGTGCGTCCTGGCAGCTCTAGGAATTGGCCTGAGAGAGAACTAGGTACCATCTAAGTTGGGCGTTCAGGATCTCACCCAGACTTTGCAAAGTTCTTACCAGTTGGTGCTTTCCACTCTCAGCTTTTTCATTGTGTGAGGGGAAAACAAATGCACTTAGAATAGTGAAGGAAATCCCTGTTGTAAGAAGGGGCTAAGCATCAGTTTCTGGTGTCATGGAAATTCAGCAAGTTTCAGTATAATAGGGTGAATCTCGTTGACTTTATCACATAGAAGTCACTTTTGGAATTTGGCTTCTTTCCCTTTATCCTTCCACCTATCCTTTGAAAATCTCTTACAGCTTCCTCTCTAGCCAATTCCTCCTTTCTTCTCCTTCCTCAGCCTGATTGACAGGCCCCAGGCTTTCCTCTAGTTTCCTGATAAGTTTTTCCTGTTCCCTGATATCTCTGTTGCTGAATTGAACCTCTTCTCAATTGTTGGAAATCTACCATTGAAGAAGTTTCATTTCCCAGTGTATATTAAAAAAAAAAAAAGGCTTAAACATCAGAGCTAAAGTTAGTATCATTCCAGAACCCAGTACAGTCTGAGGATAGGGCATCTGAGACCTCATAGTGATGGAAAGCTGACTCTAAATGTGTAACTTCTTTGAGGCATATAAAGGTAACTCAGCAATAATCATCTTGTTTGCAGCTGACTGGGACCATCCTTTTCATTGCTCTTCTGATTCTCTTTCTGCTGCTGGCTCTGGCTCTTCTGTGGTGGTTTTGGCCCCTTTGCTGCACAGTGGTAAGTAAAGTCTTTTTATTCTCTTGACTTGGTTTCCTATAGTCTTTGCCAGTTAAAGTGTTGGAGCGGCTGGTTAACCTTGCTTTAAAAAACTGTCACATTTGTAAAGCCCTGGTTCAACAATTTGCCTAAAGTGCATGTTGAAGTTACTCTTGTCTGAGTTTTTGATTGTTTCAAGGCCTATGTGACTTTTACATTGAATGAAAATTTTAAATAAGCTCATGGATGTGACTTAAGTTTCTGTAGGGATCGAGACCTCCTTCAGACCAGCTTTGAAACCTGCTGCATAAAAGTGTAATGGAATTGATTTACTAATGTGTGCACAAGCTGTTATGGTCCTCTTTAAAGACAAGAGTTAGGGTTGGTTTTCTTTGCATTTTGTTTGTTGGGGTTTCTTTAATTTATTCAGAGGAGCTGCGGATTCTGAGATAATATCTTTGCACTAACTTGGTAATTATATGGTATTTTTCATTTCATCTGGACTCATTTTCCATGAGGCTAATGAGAGGATTGAATGGGGAATGAAGCAGAGTGACTTATTTGTGACATGGGCAAGAAAGCAGGGAGGACATAGTTATTGAGAAGGATGAACCCTGCCATTGTCTCAGATTTCTCCATTGTTTGTTTATTGCAGGTGATCAAGGAGCCGCCTCCACCACCACCTCCAGAGCCTGTAAGTGTGCTATTTCTGAGCTGTGGCACTGCCTGCAGCACTGTAGTGTGCCATGCTGCCCAGGAATGGCAGCCCTGTAGGTGTCCTAATGACACCTTAAAGGCTGTGAGAGGAAGTGCTCTGGGTCAGGACAGTTATTTCTGCCTCCTGGCCTCTTTATGTACATACAGCAAAACTGCTTCCATCCAGGGTGAAAACAGTTGCATAGCTCAAAAATCCACAGGCCAGCAGTTCCTACGGTATTTTATTCCTTCTGCTGTGCATCAAACAGGTGTGTAAGCAAATCTCTGCTTCTCAAGCTGTGCTGACAGCTGTCCCTCCTCCAGTAAAGCTGCCATTGTTCTCAGCAGGAGTTTAGCCCAGATTGGTAGTAAGGGACAGTCTGGCAGCTGGAAAAAAGGACAGCAAAGGCCACATTCTTGTGGCTTTGCTACAGGAGGGGAGACAAAGCCTGCCCTGGCTGTGGCTCTTCTGCAGAGTGACCTTTGGAAGGACATTTAGCCTTTCTCCATTAAGGTTTTGAGCTGTGTGAGGCAGGATTGTGTTTAGCTCTTTTAGGGACAGTCACTCACTGACCCTGACCTCAGTTCAGTCTCACCATACTAGTTTCATGAAAATAATAGTAGCAAATAAATGCACCTCCAGAGAAAACCTATGCCTGCCTTCATTTCTTTCCTAGGCATAGACAATGAAATAATGGAAAAATACTCGCCTAACCCACGAGAGAAGCTTATAGTTTACTGTTAAATTGCTGTAACTTGGCATGTATGTAGGGAGGCAACCACAGCTGCTGTTTTGAGGTTTCTAGAGGCCACAACTAGAGTGTATGTGATCCTGCTACTTGTCCTGAGCAGCAGCACTGTGACAATTTGACTTCAGAATGCACACCAGAATTCATGCTGGGGTTAGTGTGATTAGTGCTATCACAAAGCCTGCAGTTGCAGCCATGCTGCATTTGAAGGAGGTTTCAGAGAGCATTACAGCCCTGCGGAAGTTCCAGATGCTTTGCAATTTTAAATGCAATCAAAGAGAATGAACTGATGTAAACCTCCAGGAACAACACAGAAACAGATGTTATCCATCCCTTTTCTTGGCCTTGTCTTTATCCAGCATGAGTTGTAATGTGCATTGTAATAACTGTAACTGTGTGATGAATTCCATTACATTTAGTACTTATTAGGCTCCCTAGGTATGGTGGCCTGCCCTTCAGCTGATACAATGTGGTATTGCTACTATTAAACTGAATATAGGTGTGTAAAACTTGTTCTAAAGGACAAGCATTCCATTTCCATGTGGTAGCTATTAATGTTGCTTTGCTGTGTGTTCAGTGTAGGGGATATTTGGTATAAATTCTTTATCAACTGGAAAAGTATCAGCTGTTACTGTTGGCTCTGTCCTGCTAGAGTCAGGCTTGCCAGCAGTAAGAGCTGTTAGACATGAACACTTGAAATCTGTGTTACATTGCATGGAAGAGTCAGAATAGCTTAAATAGTACTCATGTTCACAGTGAAATCAAATATTAAAACACTGATGCAGTTCACTGGGTACTGGTTTAGATTGGCATGAAGTGGGATAAAATTTGTGTATTTGTTGTACTCTCCAAAAAAAAGCTTACTGAAACAACACCAAACCCAACACCAAACCACAATAATTTCATTGTATATTTATTTTCCCAATTTAGGATAAAACAAAATAACAGGAACAAAAAAAAAGGTAAAACAAACACCAAAAAGCCAAACCACAACAATAAAAACCCCAAACTCAAACTCCCCTTACTTGTTAATGCAAATGTCAGCTCTAGTCTTGTCTGGCCATACTAAAGAAATTGGTCAGTTGGAGAAACTGACCTATTGAACTGTAGCTGAGAGGCCAATGAAAAACCTTTCTCCAAGGCATAATCTCAGAGGTAAATACAAACAAACAAAAATTAAAGCATGGTTTCAAAAAGCTGTTATTGTCTTTTGGGCTCTTAATTCCTTCCCCATTCCAATAGAAACATGTAGGGCAATTTTGTGAAAATGCCGTCTAGTGATGTAACATTAATTTACATCTCTCTATAGTATTTGGCTTTTTAGTTAATTTTTTTTTTTTTATAAAAGAATAAGTTCAGGTAATGTTTCTAGAAGCATGCTTGTACTGAGGAACACTAGCAGTGAGCACTGTGCATGGCTAGTCCAAGACCAGCATGCATGTCTGCATATAAGCATGAGGTCCAGTTATTTGAGGATTGAAGGAAATATTGTAGGAGGTTTGTTGTGCCCTCTCCTCAGCTATGTGTGTACTTGGAGAGTGTCAGGCTGGGATTTTCAGGTGTCTTAACTTACTGTAATGATATGGAGTCAGAGAAATTGTCAAGATGATAGAGCTGGAGGTGTGTTCCCAGGCTTGTTGAACCAGAACCATTTGCCAGCTTTTAGTTAGGCAAGAACAGAAAAGTGAACCTGAAGTTAATTCCTGATTCAGACTCTCACATGCTCCAGAAAAGGAATCTTTGTCTTTATGATTGCTCTGGTTCTGATTGCCCTAACAACTGTGAAATGCTCCTGTCTGAATCCTTTTTCAAATTGTACAACTTGAGCTAGACTCCACAAAGCATCAAATAGTGTAGAATTACTGGTTACAGCTGCCATGAGAAAAGGATCTGATGCATATGTTAAAAAGCTCAACAGTGGTCACTTTTTTCCTCTGTTAGGTGACATTAAGTTCTAAAAGTGCAATTAAGAATTTATTTCTCTGGGCCAACTCATCACTGCATTTTCTGCATAGCACAGTGGCAAGCCAGTTTATGTACAATTCATCTATACTTTGCCTTTCCTTACAGATCAGTGGAGATTTTGGAGCTCAGTGCATATTTGATTAAATAAAAGCAGCCTGGACAGAGGAATAGGCAATCCTCTCTGGCTTCCCTAATTAAAATTGCAGCTGCAGAGACAAGAGACTTCCTTGGTTTTTGTCAGCATATAAGCATAAAATACAAAGCCAGATATCCAAGGATTGGACCATAGGATGTTCAGCTGTTTTCCACAGTTTATGCTTTTTATGTGAGAGCAGCATTAATATCTCCCTGTGTTTCCCACAGGACTCAGATGATGAAGATGGATTGCCAAAGAAGAAGTGGCCAACCGTGGATGCATCTTATTATGGAGGCCGAGGTGTTGGTGGGATTAAGAGGATGGAGGTATTTGGCTTATTCTTTAGTGTTATAAACCCCAGCACATTTAATTGAAAACTGTTCCACTGTGTTTTCATGTGATTCTTGAAGAGGACTGGAGTCCGAGATTTAATCAGGGCTTGTGTACCTAATTCACACCTGCTGTCCAAGTAACAGGCATCAAGCTGCTGTCATTTGCATGAATAATTAAATGAATCTAGCGTTAAGAGCCAGAGAAAATTTGCAGGGTAAGAAATGAGATAAGCACCAAAAGAAGTTTTAATCTCGTGAGTCAAACCCTTTGGTGCAGTTGCAGCCAGTTCTCTTGTCAGAGGAAATTCAGGCAAAATACACTGGTTTTATTTTTGAGGATGCTGTCTGTGCAGTGCCTGGTTTCTATGGCTTCTCAGCAACTTCCTGCAGGACTGCAGATGAAGTATTGCATCTTAATATCCTTCACTATTTTCCTTGGAAGAATTTTATCCTTGATGCTGAGAATGTATGCTGACTGTGACACCATGGATCATATACTGTTCTTGAATGCAGAGTCACTTCTCTGCTTAAGCTAAGTCAGACAACAAAATCACATATTAAGATATTAGATACTGGGAAGAATTTCTTCACTGAAGGGGTGATTAGGAGTTGGAGCAGGCTGTCTGGGGAAGTGATGGAATCACCATCCCTGAAGTGTTGAAAAGATGTGTGGATATGGCACTTGAGGTATGGTATAGTAGGTGCTGGGTTAATTCAATCATCTTAGAGCTCCTACCAACCTCAATGATTCTCATCTGCCCCAGATGCTGTGAATTCCCACAACACCTTAGATTGCTGGAGTGTGCAAAGGCTGGTAGTTCCAGCAGTTTTTGAATGAGACTGTTTTATTCTTAAATGTGTATTTCTGATTATGGTAGGAGTTTGGTGCTTTCATAAGTTTGACTTAATTCTGGTAGCACTTGGTCATCTGATAGGAACTAGATTAATACCTGTGGGAACCACCTGCTGGTGGGGACTGCTGAAGCGTCTCCTTACAGTGTGCTCTCCTGACATCAGGTGCGATGGGGAGACAAGGGGTCGACAGAGGAAGGAGCAAAATTGGAGAAACCCAAAAATGCTATTATTAAGTTGCCAGAACAGGAGTATGAACCGTGGGAACCCAAGCCAAAGAAGCCCCATGTGAGAAAACCACCTTCCCAGCGAAAATGGTACACTCCAATCAAGGTAATGTGTCTGAGCCTCCATTTTAGCAAGTCTTTTGTGTCTTGCAAGATACTGTATCCCACTTCCTTAGCACAGCCTTTCTTTCAGCAGAGCTGAGTGAGACTATTTAGAAAAGTGGCCACTAATTCTCACCTTTGCCTGGTTTTGGAATGTGTATTTCACTTGGCACTGTGTTGCCATAATTTTTTGAGAAGAGTAGAGGGCACGAGCAGAGATCTTCCTTTCCTCAGCTCACACTGTCTTTTCAGGTTCTCTTGCCTGGGGTGCAACAGCAGATCCCTTGAACCTTAGGGAGGGCAGATGCTGTTTTCTGCCATCTGAAGGCAGCATAGAAAAGGATCATACAAAGGACACTGTCCTTGCTTTGACTGCATTGTGGCTAAGGGCTTGGGCTGGGATGCAGATCTCTTTCCCCTTAGTTCAACCACAAGACAGTAGTGTTTGGTTTTTGGGCAAGTCACTCAGTCTCCCCATATTTTCACCCTAAGTTCTCCCATGTCATTATAATATCTGGTGTTTCAATGTCTTTTAATGTATGTATCCTCACACAACCCTAAAGGCAGGGAAGAGCTGTAACCTCTGCTTGCAGAGAAGGAAGCTGGAGGGCTAGCACAGTCAAGGCTGCCATACTCTCCTCATCCCAGGAATCTATGACCATGTCCCAAAACAGTGCTTTGTGAGATGAGTTCCCCCTTTCCCTGCTTACTCACAGATCAGTTAAACAGTGCTTGAATGTTTCTGGAAAGTATCTGTGAATGTTAAAGCCTGCCTAGGCAGGTATTCTTCTGGCTGTTCATCTATGCCTCAGTTCTCTTCCCATCTGCACCGTACTTTTGTTCTGCCTTTTGTAACATTTAAAGGTTAGTGCTTTAAAGTAACACCTGTCTAATTGTGCCTCTTAAGGGAGTTGTTCACAATAATCTCCTCTCATCCTGCCTGCATATTTGGTATTTCTCCACTGAGGTTCTTCTGGTTGTCCAGATAAAGCGTACAGAGGCCAGGGTACAGGATCAGTGTGTGTGCAGACAGCTTAATGCAGAAAAGCTGTAACCACCCACCTCTTGTTTAATCTCATGCTATTTTTGCCACATTTCTTGGTCATATCTTGTCCCTTTTTCTTATTGCAGGGTAAACTTGATGCACTGTGGGCTTTGGTTCGACGAGGCTATGACCAAGTCTCTCTTATGAGACCACAGCCAGGGGATAAGGTAAGGCATCTCAAATGCACTGGCATCACTCCTCTGGTAGTAGCAGCAATGCTCTTCTCTCACAATCAGCCCATCTCTTTTATTTTCATAAGCTTGATTCTTTTCACAATGCCCTAAAGCTAAAAACTAAACATTTTTAATGTTTCTTGGATTTAGTAATGGAGTTCAATGACTATTGCAAAATCATGAACTGTACAGATGATGACAAAACAAATCATAGTAAGGTTAATGGAGAACAAGTTGGTTGAATTGTGTGCAGGCACATTTTTCAGTCATCTCCTACACATAGACAAGGAGTATATCCTGCCTTGGTGAAGTCTATTGGCCAAAAGAAGGTCAGGAGTACTGGGAGGCAGCAGGGAGTTTGTGCTTTTCAGAGCCACAAAGATGTCTGTGTACTGTCCTTGGGTCACTGGCAATAGCTTGGTTCAGAGCTCTCACAGTTTATGTGAGCCTGGCACTGTTATGGTTGTCTCTATTTTGTTATTCTGAGGGAACAACTCCCTAAGAATTGAGTGCTGCTGCTTTGAGCTGTTTCACCATCAAGGTTTTGCTTTCTGCAATGGTTCTTTGTAACGTGAGAACGAAGCAGACACAACAGCATCTCTCTTTCCCTGTGGGCAGAGTCCATGCATTTCATCACCCTGGCTCTCAGGTGAGGGGATTATAGAGTTACAGCAATAGGGTCCATAAAGTGCTTTTTTGGGGATAGGACTGGTGCAGATGCCCAGGCTTGTTTGCCTGGGTAGTTTTCACACCTAATGACAGACTTTAAAAGTAGCTCTAATTTGCATCAGCTAGGGCAGTAAGTTGCATGTCTTATGCTTTTGGCAAAATATTATGCCATTGGTCTAGTCATTACTCAACCATGCTGCATCAGTATTTAAAGTTTAATCTCATCCATTTTTCTTTTGGCACATAAGGAAACCAAGAGAACAAACCCAGCTTCTTATACGACTTTGTAAAATGGTCTTAAATGTTTCACTAAGCTGCATTTTCAAGGCAGCTGTGCTTGAGACACCTTATTTACTTTTTAAGCACGATCTAGAGCTTCTGAATAGGCTCTTTAGGTCCAGCTGTATTTTGATAGCACTAACATTGTATAGTATGAATCTGTCCTCTGCCTTTCACTCCCTTGGCTGGGACATTTCTATCAGTGCAGAGCACAACAGAGCCTCTGTTAGCCAGCATGGTGAAGAAACATGCAGGGAGCTGGCTCAGAACAGGGATCCTCAGTTCCTTGCCTTCCAGCTCTGCTGTGGGGAGAACAAGGGGCTGAAAAGAGGCAGTGTAAAACATCAAGCTGAAGGATTATTGTATCAGGGATAACATAAGAAAAATCAAATGTACATCTGGGAAATAGGGTGGAAAGAATCCTATTGAGCCAGATCCAGTGGAATCATAGAATGATCTCTGTTCTCTGGCCTGTGAAATTAACTAAGGCTGAAGAATATTGAAAGTGAAACAAGAATATAACTAGACAGCCTTCTGCTGTTAAAAAAAAATATCACAGGCCTGTATTTCATGGGGAGAACTAGCACAGAAAGGAACAAGTTTATTATTTGTTCTTTGAGTAACATCTCTAGTAGCAGTCTCTCAGTGGATAACTGCCTCCTTGTAAGCTGGGTTTTTGCTGGGGGTTGTGTACAAATCCACCTGTATGTGCAGGTCAGTAAATGTGAGCACACACACACAGGTGCACACTCATCATGGTGGGGGAAGAACTGGGAGATCAGGTCAGGGCTGGGAGGGAGCAGCAGCACAGAGCTCTGGCAGCCCCAGGAGCAAGGGTACAGCTCTGCCCCAGCCCAGGCAGGACGAGGTCACTTCTTGGCCAGCTGTGCTGGCATTTAGCGTGGGGCTGGGGAGATGGTGTTCATCCACAGGCCAGGGAGTGTAGGGTGATCTTGGAGTGAGAGGTTGCTTTGGTTTGTGTGGTTTTGAGGGACTGAGGGGAGGGAACAGGGGAAAGAGTTCTTGGTGGGGTCTAAGTGCACCTTTTTTTTAAATTTTAAGGTAATTTCATAGCTGTCCATCCATCTATTTTTCTTCCTTCATCATGGTCCTGTTGCCATTCCCCATCCTGCTCTTTTCCTTACCTGTGCCCTGCTTGGTCTCCTGCAGGAGACATTGCCTTCCGTTTCCTTCTGTGGTTCCTTCCTCGTTTTCTCTCTCAGTTGATGTCTGCATGCCCTTGCCCTTGACGAGACAGACTGATTCCCTGCACTCCTGTCTTTGGGAGCAGTGGCTGGTCCCCACGTTAGCCTGTTCCTCTCACACTGCAGGACCTGAGCTGCTGGTAGCATCATGCTCTGGGCTGTGGCCTTGCTGCAGAGCTGGCTGAAGCTCTGAGAGTTCCCTTGCCCTGGCTCATGTCTTCCATGAACTTAGCAAGAAATGGATCTCAGGATGGATGATTTGTTAGTATTAGGCAAGATTTTATTAATAGGACTGTATTATCCTTGTGAAAATCACAGGAGCTTTTTGGAACTGCCTATTTAGAGAAAACCATGCAGGCACAAGCTCTGGTGCTCCTTCTCCTGTGTGCCCACAGTGTTTTGCTTGGCTCTTGCAGACAACTCCTCCTCTTGGTCTCCATTCAAGAGTGTATCATTCATGTCATAGCACCAGCACTGAAATGTTTTGGTTTGGCAAGTTCCTCAGTAAAGGGTCACAGGATCCATCTGGCTAGACTTCCTCAGGTCACCTCTAGCAGGAATTTCTGTTGCACCAGGATGGGACAACAGGAGATAAACACACTTAGCTCTACCCCATCATTAGCAGCTAGGCTGTTATTTGTGGCATGGAGTTTTGCTGAGCTCTCAGACAGCATCAGCAGAGGAGAGAAGTGATAAAAAAACGACTTGTGGCTCTGTGGTGGGTTTCTGGGCCTTCTGCCTTGCTGGAGTGTACAAAGGTGAAGCTTTTATTTATAGGTATTTGTGCTACTGCTGCAGCGGTGGATCCCTCAGAGCTAGGCTTTCTTCCCAGCCTTGCTCAGAAATCTGTGCTTTAGAGCAGTCACTCTTCTGGCCCAGGAAAGGGACTGACAGCTCTGAGGTGGGGACACTGCTCATCCAGCCACAGGGGTATGTTGGTGTCCACATGGCCTGATTGCGCTCTGTTTTGCTCAAGGTGTTCAGATTTTCTTGAAGACTTTCCCATCACTGTGTTGATGTGTGTTCTCCTGAGCTTGGTTCTGAGCTTGCAGCAGCTGCTGTGAAGGTTGGAGTTTGGGAAATATTAGTCTGGCTATCTTGAAATATTTCATATGAACAAACCCCAGTAGCTGGCAGGGCAGGTTGTCAGTAGCCTCTGTGAAATGTGAGTTTCAAGCTTTGCCTTGGCCTCACAGTTCAGAAGGGGGCTGTTACCAATGGCAGCAGGTAAACACTGCAAGCCCCAGTGTAGGCAGAGAGGAAGGGGAGGTGCTTTCCAATGGTCTGTTAGTTGCTGCTTTCAGCAATTCCATTCCAGTTTGCCTCTCAGCACCTACTGATTGATGCAGGAAATTCTTAGATGCTCGGTTTACCAAAGTCCTTGACTAAAAACCCAACATTTTTCCCTTCAGGCAGAATTGATCCTTTAAAGACTTAAAACGTGATCTCATTATTTTCACTGAAAATTTTGCAGCTGCAACAAGGAGTGTAGAGTGGATTTTGCTGTCACCATCCCCTTGCATACCCCTGGGACTTTACATAGTAAAAAGCATTGCCTTAGTGGTAGTACCCTGTGGTTTGTACATGTAAAGCCCTTTCCTGGGGAACAGGACTAGAAGCAGCCTGCTGTGCAGCCAAAAATGTCACAAACTATGAGCTGCTGATCATTTTAGAAGCCAGAACTTCTGGATCCGTTCAAGTTCCCACCCTTGAGTTACGGTATGACTTGGAACAAGGCAGAGAAGCTGCAATTTTAAACTACAGCCTCTGAAATGAGGAGTGTATGGGTTCCTTATTCTTTGCATTCCTTTCAGAGTGATCACTCCTAGTCTGATAGGTTTGTTGAAGCTCAGAAGGTCTGATTACCCTCAGATTTTGTGTGATTACTTCTAATGCTGATCATGATACTATGTGCCTTAGTTTTCCTAACAACAGAAATAATCATGAGAACACAGTATTTACCTTCCTTACAGCTCTGAGGTTTAGTGTTCTGCCAGACATTAGGGACACCAAGCTTATGGATTATTAATGACTAATAATTGCTCTCTGGCTGCTACTTACAGGCGGTCAGCAGCTTGACTGCAGCCCACGGAGATGGCAGCACCCACCTGTCACGCCACGCTGGCTGCCCACGTGCTGCTGCTATTTGCAGCTTATTCTAATTGCTTCTCTGCCAGACCCAGTAATGGCTTTTAATAGGCTTCCCTGCCTCTTGCTTGGAGATGTGTTGTAATCACCCATGCAACAACTGGCAGAGCTGCAGGGGGGGGCTGGAAAAGCAGCCCTGAGCTCCTGCAGACTGTAGTTATCAGTGGCTGCTGCCTGGTCCTGGGGCTTTTCTCCCTTTGCTTTTTACCTTCATAAGCTGCTGAAAAAGTTAGAGAGATGAGGGCATTGCCTGCCACAGTGGGTGATCTCACTTTGTCACTTTCAATGAAAATGTGACACGTTTAGCTCCCATTTTGCTACTTTTTCTTCTTTTTTTAAAGGACATAGGCATCTCTAAGATTTATTCCTGCTTTAGCAGACATGGCATGAGGGAAAAATCTCCCTTTCTGTGGTGTGGGACCAATGTCCTAATGCACAGTTCCCAGGACATGTTGAGAGCTGCAGCTGGAAACATGTAATCAGTGACTAATGAATTTCCTGTCCTACAAGAAGCCCACATACTGCATTAGCCCTCGCTTGTGCCAGGACTGTGTTATTTCTGTTGTGGAGGAGGAATTCACAGACTTTGGGGATGGATGCTACCTGTCTGCACTCAGGTCAGACCAGCAGTCTGTCCATGTCTTTGGCAGCCAGAGGCATGCTCAGGAGCAAGGGGCTCTTGTGAAGGATGAG